ACTGGGATTACAGGGTGAGCCACCATGCCCGGCCTGGGCAGGGTTTTTTTTCTGCTTGTAGATGTTGTTACGTCAAGATGTAAAACCCAGTCATCTTGGATCATGAAGAGAACCAGCCGTAGAATGAGGTTGTTACTGAAGGTGGCAGAGTGGAGAGTTGGAAGGAATCTGGGTTCTTGATGACATCATTACCCACTGGTTGTACTATGCCCAGAAATACCTTTTCTTTTCTTTTTTCTTTCTTTCTTTTTTTTTGAAACGGAGTTTCACTCTTGTTACCCAGGCTGGAGTGCAATGGCACGATCTCGGCTCACTGCAACCTCCGCCTCCTGGGTTCAGGCAATTCTCCTGCCTCAGCCTCCTGAGTAGCTGGGATTACAGGCACACGCCACCATGCCCAGCTAATTTTTTGTATTTTTAGTAGAGACGGGTTTCACCGTGTTGACCAGGATGGTCTCGATCCCTTGACCTTGTGATCCACCCTCCTCGGCCTCCGAAAGTGCTGGGATTACAGGCGTGAGCCACTGCGCCCGGCCCCGGAAACACCTTTTCTTGATTTTTTTTTTTGTTGTGGTGGTGGTGGTGAAATAATAAATTTCCTTACTGCTCAAGTTTATTTGAATTAATGTTATTTGTTGCTTACAGCTAAAGGCATCCTGATTGATACAGTACCTCTTGGAAATAACAGAGTTCAGCAATCTTCCTAGAGAGAATTTTGTTGTAGCATAACTCCTGTGGAGGAGGAAAAAATTAGGATCCACAGGTTGTCCCAAACAAAAAGGGATCTTCTAGAATTTGAGGAAATGAGAAATTGGTAAAAATATGTTTTGGCGAAATGTTCTTTGATCAGAACATGATAAAAGGAAAGAATTAAACATTTTTCTTCTACAACTTATTAAATAATTGTTATTTTATATTAAAATTTTTTGAGAAAAAAATTTGATTTTTGTTTGACAAAAATGTTCAAAGCAAATACTATTTTTTATTTTTAAAATTTAAAAATAATATTCATAATTCTTTAAAATTTTGCTCTTCTCTAAAATCTCCCAATACATTTGTTTTTGAAGCACACTATTAACTATTCACAATCATAGCATTTTACTTTAAGGTAGCTAAATCTATTAAGTAATTAGACAGCAATCCAACATAATTTGTTCAGCATGTTTGTATATAGGTAGATAATTTCATAGAAATCTATCAAAACAAAGTAAAAATTTGATTATTTGGTTACAAATATTAGAAAGGTGGTTCAGCCTTAATATCTTCCTTATTTTATCAGTAGTAGAAAAATCTGTCATGTAAACCTGTCTTAATTTCTTTTCTTCTGAAATTCCTTGATTTCTATTACTTGGCCTTCTGACAGTTGTTAGAAACAGTTCTGATAATTCCTATTTATCATTCAAAAAATATAGCTGGAGACCTTTGCTCAGAAAGGAAAGCTGTGGTATAATTAACAACTTCATTATTTCAAGGTTGGTTTCTCTACTCATGTGAGTGTTTAGCTATGAATTATAGCTGCAATAATTACCATGTCTTTGTTGGTAATTTTAGTTGTGTTTCTCTTATTTTAGACCTTACCTCCTTTTTTCATAATTAATGATTTTAAAGTTTTGGCATTTGGGAATTACAAAGTTTCTGGACTTTGTTTAATTTTTTTTTTTTTTTTTTTGGGAGATGGAGTCTCACACTGTCACCTGGGCTGCAGTGCAATGGTATGATCTTGGCTCACTGCAACTTTCTCCTCCTGGGTTCAAGTGATTCTCCTGCCTCACCCTCCCGAGTAGCTGGAATTATAGGTGCCCACCACCACACCCAGCTAATTTTTTGTATTTTTAGTAGAGACGGGATTTCACTATGTTGGCCAGGCTGGTTTCAAACTCATGACCTTGTGATCCACCCGCCTCGGCCTGTCAAAGTGCTGGGCTAGGCGTGAGCCCCCACACCCAGCCTGTTAAAGTGTGTTTTTTTTGTTTTTTTTGTTTTGAGACAGGGTCTCACTCTGTTGCCCAGGCTGGAGTACAGTAGTTCGATTGTGGCTCACTGTAGCCTCAACCTCCCTGGGCTCAAGTTATCCTCTCACCTCAGGCTCCCAAGTAGCAGGAACCATAGGTGTGTGCTATCATGCCTGTCTAGTTTTTGTATTTTTTGTAGAGATGGGGTTTCACCATGTTGCCCAGGCTGGTCTTCAACACCTAGGCTCAAGCAATCCTCCCACCTAAGCCTCCTAAAGTGCTGGGATTACAGGTGTGAGCCACCACGCTTGAGCTGGACTTTATTTAAATGTTGAAATTTAAAACTTTTGATTAATGACAGGAAGCATTTGAGGTGGTTCTCTGTGGCAGTTCTCAACCTTTGTCCACAAGGATGCACTTGACCTTCCTATCAGTTGTATGCAAATCCCTCTCATTTGTTGTAGCTCCACTCCTTTCTCTCCACCTCAGAAGAGCTTTACCGACATTACCTTTAATCCAAAAACAAACCAATAGAAAATAGTGGCACTTTTAATCAGTAATGAATTCCTGGAACATTCCTCCTGACACTTCATCGCACTACATGACACCACATGATGCCTCATGACTCACAGTGAAAAAGACTACTTTAGTAGTCATCGCAATGCACTGGGAAACAAGAAACAAAAGACAAAAAATAAAGTTCTTCTCCCCCGCATTTTGGAGCGTAACCTTTGTTGGAGCAATAACTTAACCTTTCTATACCTCAGTTCTCCTTATATAGAAAATGAAAGCTACAAGAAGGTCTTATGAAAATATCAATTAAGCGGTTTTTAAAAATTTTTATTTATTATTATTTTCTTTTTGAGGCAGAATCTCACTCTGTCATCCAGGCTAAAGTGCGGTGGCATGATCTTGGCTCACTGCAACCTTTGCCTCCTGGGTTCAAGCAATTCTCCAGCCTTGGCTTCCCGAGTAGCTGGGGTTACAGGCACACACCACCTCATCCGGCTAATTTTTGTATTTTTAGTAGAGATGGGGTTTCACCATGTTGGCTAGGCTGGTCTTGAACTACTGACTTCAGGTGATCTGCCCACCTTGGCCTCCTAAAGTGCTGGGATTACAGGTGTGAGTCACTGTGCCTGGCCAAATTATCAGTTAAGTTTAATATTGTTTTGAGAGCTTCACTTCAATAAAATAGGATGGAGGTCCTGGCAGAGTAGAGAGTGTAAGGGTAGCCGAGAGAAAGGAGAATAGACACAAAGTCAGGCAAGAAAGTTTATTAACCTGTCGGGCTGCTCAGAGGAGGCAGCAGCTCTGAGCTTACAAAATGAGAGGTTTATATGGGGTGATGGGTACATAAGGGGGTTTCAGGTGACAGACAGAGAGATAGTTCATTAACTTGCAACAGACCTACAATACATCATCCTGTGACTTTTGTGGCAGCAGTCTTTAGGACCGAAACCAGGATTTTTTACAGATATGTGTCAAACAGGAATTTACGACTATGGATAACCAACATATGTTTTCCCTGTCCTCCCTTGAGCTGCCCGGATGGCTGTAATCAGGCTTTGCTTAATTGCCGCTTGTCTGGCAGCCTTGGTGTGGCCCCTAGGTAGAGGTTTAGGAGTGCAGCTGCAGAGCAATCAGAGTGGGATGGGGTCAGCCTGTGGGGAGGGGGTTTTCTGAGACAGCACAACTCCTCCCTAACAGAGAGGGATTCAAATGTAGAAGGCTTGGAATAGTAGGCTGAGGAATTGAATCGCTGTGTAATGAAGGCTTGTAAAAATTACTGAGCAGGGTAATAGCACAATCATCTATATCTGTGTTTTAGGAGGAAAACTGGCAGCAGTGTGTAAAATAGGAGAGAGTGATGAAAACTAGCAGAGTCAGGAGAGTATTGCAAAGGTCTAGACGAGATGTTGATGGTAATTGCTGTGAGAACTGGGAAAATTGGACTAATTCAAGAGGTAAGGAAGATAATTATAGAAACAAGATGATAAAGTAAGGATTTCTTTCTTCTTTTCTTTTTGTTTTTTTGAGACAGTCTTGCTCTGGAGTACAGTAGTGCAATCTCGGCTCACTGCAACTTCCGCTTCCTGGGTTGAAGCGATTCTCGTGCCTCAGTCTCCCGAGTAGCTGTGATTACAGGCCCACACCACCACGCCTAGCTAATTTTTGTATTTTTAGTAGAGACAGGGTTTCCCCATGTTGGCCAGACTGGTCTTGAACTCCCGACCTCAGGTGATCTGCCCGCCTTGGCCTCCCAAAGTGCTGGGATTACAGGCGTGAGCCACAGCGACCGGCCCCTAGAGTACGGATTTCAATAGGTTAAGGAATGGGTTAAGGGCTTCTGGTCTGAATATCTGAAGATGCCGTGCCTTAACTGAATGCAAGCTCAGGAACGTGGGGTGTGTGTGTGAGAGAGAGAGGAATGATTTTTTTTAAACAACCCCCAAACCTGGATTCTAGGATTAAGAACGATTTTTTTCCTGTTAGTTGAAATGCCTGTGGATCCGGTGCGACGCTAACCAGCTGGACAGTTAGAGTAGGTATGGGGAAATGTCTTCGAACAAAGGAAAGGAATATTCTTGTAATGAGAACAACTCATTTTTATAGTTCGCAACCATTAGTGCCCCAAACTCTGAGGTAGTTATTATCTCGCCAGCAGTAAAAGCTTGATTATCATTCCTGATTACTGACTGCGTGGAAGGTCCTGTTTCCAGCAACTTCCAAAGGCAAAATGATATTAATTGTGATTAATTATCTTGTGGCATAATATAAAGACTATATGATGTATTGTGGCTTCAGCAGGACGTTTTTTCTCTGGAGCCCTCGGGGCAGGGGAACTGGAGAGCTCCCTAGGTGGCTTTCAGCCCTTCCCTGGTCGGAGCACGCCAGGTATGACGTGCTCCCAGACCTGAAGTCTGGGTCCTCAGGCTCTCCCAGACTTCAGTGCTTAGATCTTGGGCGGAGGGCCCTGTTATCCTTCCTCGCTCACAGACTCTAGCCTTCTGCTCCGGGGAGGGGGCGGGACAGCCCTAGGCCCCGCCCCTTCACCTCCCCTCGCCCCGCCCCACTCGCGATCGCCAGCGCCCTCCGGCAGCTGGGGGACGCGCGCCTGCGCCGGCCCTCTCCTCGGAGCAGCCATGATGGTGGGTGTTCGCGGCGCCGAGCCCTGGGCGCGCGTTGGGGGCGGCGGGTGCGGGGCGGGCGCGGGGACAGCGCCAGCCTGGCACTAATGTCTCCCTTTGTGTCTCCCCCACCTCATCCTTTTCCCCGGCGCGCCGGGTCCGCCAACCCCGCAGGAAGGCCTGGACGACGGCCCCGACTTCCTCTCGGAAGAGGACCGCGGAGTAAGTTCTGCCTTCCTGTCGCTCCCGGGATCCTCCCTCCCTAGCCTAGGTCTCCGGGTGTGGTACGGGAGGAGTCCCCAGGCGCGCGTCGCTGTCTCCCGGTAGTCCTCCTTTCGATTTCCTGGCTGCACCGCGCCCCACCCTCCTGTAGCCCTTCCTCCCTGAGGGCCGCTCGTTCGGATTCCCGGGGACCCGCGGCCGCTTTCTTGTCCTCCGCCACGGCTAGGGCCCTTCGGTGGACCTCCGCCCCCACCCGGGGCGGGGTGCAGGTGGCGAAGTGGAAGTGGAGGCGGGAGCTAGAAGGCCCCCTTCCTCCCTTCCCACTTTGGGGCCGTGAAAGCCGGTTCTCGGACCTTCCCGGCGGCACCCTAAATTTTCTCCCAATGTGGACATCTCGAACTTGCTCCTGCCCACCCTTCTCTCTCTCTCAAATATAGTACAGGTTTAGTCCACATTACCATTTTGCAAGGATTTTTACAGTAGCCGAATCAACTCTTGTCCAGTGCCCTACTAGATGATGCAGTGTGGGTACCCAATGGTATCTTTACTTTTTCTAATATCCAAGAAATCCTGTTTTGGCAGGATTCCCTTGGTGTTTTATTCCGCCTTAGCTTCTTTGAGGTATATTAGTAAATAATAATATTTAAGGCATACATATTTTAATACAAGAATACATTGTGAAATGAGTACCACAGTCAATCTAACATGTCCATCACCTCACCTGGTTACCAGTTTTTTTGTGAGAATATTTGAGATCTAAGCAGATTTCAAATATGTACCATTTGACCGACATCTACGCCTCCCCCCCACCCCCACACCCCGCCAAACCCTTGGTAACCTCCATTCTACCCTTGGTGTCCTCCTGAGGTTAGTTGCATTCTACTTCAGAAAGAGCCTTCCGGTCTCTGATTCCTCCCTCCCACCCCACTCCCCAACTCCTTTTTCTTTGGCTGAAGGGTGGTGATCTTTATAGTACCTTGTACAAGTGAGCACTTGGAAAATATTGATATGTGATAATTGCCATTCAGCAAGGTTTCATGGTTCCTTCATATTTAACAGCCTGCACTTCAGTTTTTCCTTTTGCTTTTTCTTATCGGTCTTAATGTGACAGAGGCATTTGTGAGTGCCTATTTGGTAGGTGATAAAATGTTGTGGGATGTTGCTGTTTGTAATAACAGATGCGGTAGTTAGTATGAACTGATGACTTCTATAAAGCTTGTATTTATTTATTTGGTTTTATGAGACAGCATCTCCTTCTGTGGCCCAGGCTGGAGTGCAGTGGCATGATTATATAGTTCACTGCAGCCTTGACCTCCTGGGCTGAAGTGATCCTCCCACCTCAGCCTCCTAAGTAGCTGGGACTACTGGCACGGGCCACCATGCCTAGCTCGGTTTTTTGTTTGTTTGTTTGTTTTCTGAGACGGAGTTTCGCTCTTGTTACCCAGGCTGGAGTGCAGTGGCGCGATCTCGGCTCACCGCAACCTGCGCCTCCTGGGTTCAGGCAGTTCTCCTGCCTCAGCCTCCCGAGTAGCTGGGACTACAGGCATGCACCACCATGCCCAGCTAATTTGTTGTATTTTTAGTAGAGATGGGGTTTCACCTTGTTGACCAGGATGGTCTCGATCTCTTGACCTTGTGATCCACCCGCCTCGGCCTCCCAGAGTGCTGGCATTATAGGCGTGAGCCACCGTGCCTGGCCTGTTTGTTTTTATAGGTACAGGGTCTCACCGTGTTGCCCAGGCCAGTGTCAAAGTCCTGGGCCTAAGCGATCCTCCTGTCTCTCTGCCTTTCGAAGTGCTGGGATAATAGGCATGAGCCACTGTGCCGGGCTGAGCTTTTAAATAGTAAGAAAGATGCAAAAGGTGCTTCATACTTTTATAAATTAATTTCTCAGTGTAAACAAAAGTGTTATTTAGAATTTCAGATTAGAGCAAAAGCATCGTATAGAATTACTAGCTGTTTTCCAAGATTATTAGTTTCAGCCGGGCACAGTGGCTCACACCAGTAATTCCAGCGTTTTGGGAGGCGGAGGCAAGAGAATTGTTTGGGGCAGGAATTCAAGATCAGCCTGGGCAACGTAGCAACACTCCATCTCTACCAAAAAGTTTTAAGGCCGAGCACAGTGGCTCACGCCTATAATCCCAGCACTTAGAGAGTCTGAGGCAAGTGGATCACCTGAGTTCGAGACCAGCCTTACCAACATGGTGACACCCCTATCTCTATTAAAAATAGAAAAATTAGCTGGGTGTGGTGGCGCATGCCTATAATACCAGTTACTCTGGAGGCTGAGGCCCGGAGAATTGCTTGAACCCGGGAGGTGGCGGTTTCAGTAAGTCAAGATTGTGCTGTTGCACTCCAGCCTGGGCAACAAGAGCAAAACTTTGTTTCAAAAAAAAAACAAAAACAAAAAAAACAAATTTTTGTTTTTAAAACTTAGGCAAGCTTGGTGGTATATACCTGTAGTCCTAGCTACTTGGAGGCTGAGAGCTTGAGAGCAGTGAGCTATGGCTTGAGAGAGCCTGGGTGACAGAGTGAGACCCTGTCTCTAAAACAAAAAAAACTTACATTTTGGATTTTAAAATAGGAGAAACTAGCAGAGTTACTTAGTGTGAGAGGAATGATTATAGCACAATTAAACTGATTTTTCTAAATATAAAGCATATGGCCTTTTAATTTAGATAACTTTGTGTCCTATTTTTTTTCCCCCTTGTGATTTTAAGTGCACAGGTTTTGCACTTAAAATTTTGATGTTGTGGGTTTTTTGATTTTTTTGTTAGTTTTGTTTTAAGATGGAGTTTTGCTGTTGTCGCCCAGGCTGGAGTGCAATGGCACGATCCTGGTTCACTGCAACCTCTGCCTCCTGGGTTCAAGCAATTCTTCTGCCTCAGCAGGAGAAATACATAAGGGATATATTTTGTATCCCTTATGTATTTCATATCTTTAAAGCTATTGAAAAAGTACTTTTAAATTTTAATTTCCAAATATTTGTTGCTAGTATATAGAAATACAATGGATTTTTGTATATTGAATTTGTTTCCTATGATCTTGCTAGTTATGTTTTTTTTGTAGATTATTTTGGATCAAAAAAAGTCATGCTGTCTGTGAATAAAGAATTTGGCTTCTTTCTTGTTAATTTTATGTTTGTTTGTTTTTTTCTTCTTGTGCTGACTTAATCACCCAGTAAAATATATAGAGGTGCAAACATACTTGATTTGCTCTAATCTGAGGGGAAAAGGACTTACTTTTTTACCATTAACTGTGATGCTAATTTTAGGTTTCCTAAATGCTCTTTATCAGATTAAGAAAGTTCCTTCTCTTTATAATTTGCTAGAAGTTTTAAATCACAAATGGTTGTTGCACTTTGTCAAATGCTTTTTATGAGTCCACAGAGCTGATTCTGTAGTTTTTTTTTTTTAATCTCTTATTATGGTATGGTATGCCACATTGATTGATTTTCAAATGTCAAACCAAGCTTGCATTCCTAGGATTAACCTATTAAAATTCTATTAATATTTTTTGTATATTACTATATTTTATCTGTAATAGATTGTTAGAAAATTTTGCATCAGTATTTGTGAAATATAGTGATGTGTAATATCCCTTTCTTGTAACGTATTTTTTTTTTTCAGGTTTTTTTTTTTTAGGGAGGGAAGGAGGAAGGGAGGGAGGAAGGAAGGGATGAAGGAAGGAAGGGAGGAAGAGGGGGAGGGAGGGAGGGAGGGAAGGGAAGGAAGGAATGAATTCAAGCAATGAGAGAGACATTGCCGACCTGGATCTAGAGGTTTACAAGTTGATTTCTTTTTTTGAGAGAAGGAAAGAAAAAAAAATGAGTAAAGGAGAGAAAGAAAGAGGAAGAGAGAGAGGGAGGGTGAACGAAAATTTCTGAGGAAAAAAAAAAAAAAAGGGGGGCATTAATAATGGCCAATCAATCAATGTTTCATTTAAACCTATGAGTAGGTGTGATGTGGTATTGACAAGAATGTATATTTTATGTGTTTGAAGTGGAGAGCTCTATAAATATTTATTAAGTTTACTTGTTCCGGATCTGAGTTCCGAGTCCTTGATATCCTTATTAATTTTCTGTGTCATTGAATCTAAGTCTCTATGTATCTGGGTGTTAGGATCGTTAGCTCTTGTTGTTGTATTGATCCTTTTACCACTATATCTTTGTTGCTTTAAAATCTATTTTATCAGATACAAGAATTGCAACTCCTGCTTTTTATTTATTTATTTGTTTTTGCTCTCCATTTGGTTGGTAAATCTTTCTCCATTCCTTTGTTTTGAGTCTTTGTGTATCCTTGCATGTGAAATAGGTCTGGATGTAACATGCCGTTGGGTTTTGGCTGTGTCTTTTGATTGGGGGATTTAGTCGATTTAAATTTAGGGTTACTGCCATTTGATGTTAACTGGCTATTTGATCCATTTGTTGATGAAAATTCTTCTTTATGTTGGTGCTCTTTACTTTTTGGTATATTTTTAGTAAGGCTAATACTGGTTGTTTCTTTCTGTGTGTAATGCCTCTTTCAGAAGCTCTTGTAAAGCAGGCCTGGTGGTAATAAAATCTCTGAGTACTTGCTTGTTCATAAAAGATTTTATTTTTCCTTCAGTTGTGAAGCTTAGTTTGGCTGGATATGAAATTCTGGGCTGAAGGTTCTGTTCTTTGAGGATGTTGAATATTGGCCCCCACTCTCTTCTGGCTTGTAGAGTTTCTGCTGAGAGATCTGCTGTAAGTCTGATAGGCTTGCCTTTGTGGGTAATCTGACCTTTCTCTCTGGCTGCCCTTAGTATCCTCTCCTTCGTTTCAACCCTGGTGAATCTAACGATTATGTGCCTTGGGGTTGCTCTTCTTGAGGAATATCTTTGTGGTGTTCTCTGTTACCTGGGGTTGAATATTGACCTGCTTTGCTAGTTTAGGAAAATTTTCCTCAATAATATCCTGAAGGGTATTTTCCAGCTTGGATTCATTCTCTCTGTCACATTCTGGTACACCTATCTAACGT